AGAGGGAGAGGTGGGACAGCTGGGACCCGGCAGGGAAGCAGGCCAGGGGGTAAGGAGCCAGCAGAGAGCAGGAGAAGGCGAGGTTGAGGAAAGATCGCCAAGCCCCTAAGCCTTCCCCTCAGCCAACTCTTGGCTGATGCTTCTGAGGACTCTGGGGACACCCAGACACCTCCTCCACCCTCATCCTGTGGACAGGGCTCTACACACAAAGGCGAGAGCAAGCTAAGTCCAAAGTGGGGTGATTCCTGGGAGGGTCTCCCTTGACCTCGGAGCAGATGGCCTGCCTCACCCCTGAGGTCCACCTGTTGCCCCTTCCAGCCCATCTCTCTGCTCTGTCACCCCTCAGGGCCGTCCGCCCTCCCCACCCGCCATGAGGGTTCTTGCCCCAGGCCTCTCCGTGGTGTCTGGCTCCCCTTCAGGGCCACCTCACAGGGTCTCTAAGTTTGGGACTTTCCAAGGCTTCTCTTCGACCAGCTCTCCATTGGAGAGCTCTCTGCTGGGTCCTTTGGGTGGGCTTTTCAGTTTGAGGCCTTTCAGCAGGGCCCTACTGAGAGGGAAGGTCCGCCTCCCGACGTGGATGTCTCAGGAGAGGGCCCTCTCGAAGTCCCTTGGTCTCTCTTGGGTCCTGCTCCCCCACAGTGATCCTGTATTCTGCTGACTCTTGACAAACAGCACTTCCCCTGTGAATTCCCATCCTGGGCCTTGAGGCCTCCTCCTCGTTGGTTTACTGGAACCCTTCGGGTGGGGGAGGGGGTGCACACAATCTGGGGCACAGGTTGGCTGCCAGGCCGCTCCCCTGGTGTGGAGGCCCTCGAGTCAGCCCCATCATTTTGCTCTGCTAACCTGGGTATGAGCCGTGACTCAGGTCTGCCTGGAGCCTGGGCACTGGACTTTATAGAGCATTTCTCACATGGGAGCCCCAAGATCTGAACAGGCATGAAGTTGCTGGACTCAGGGCTCCCCAGCCATGCAGAGGCTCCCTGCTCCCAGAGGGGGAGGTGGACAAGAGTTAGCCCACTGGCGGTGAGGGAGGGAAGAGACGGAAAGACAGTGGAAAGCCAGTCGGAGAGGGGACACCTGGTGGCCCTCAGGGTGTCTCTCTGTCTTTCTCCTCTCTGTGAGCTGTTCCCACCAGGGTTAGGGAAAATGGTTGAGTCTAGCTTACAAATGCCAGCCAGAGCTCAGGAATCCCAGCTGGGTTGGAAGGCATGACTGTGAAAAGGATAAAGGGACGGGTGAAATGCCCCCAGGTGGAACCCTGGCTGCTCAGGCATGGGACTATGGAGTCCTGTGAAGTCCCCCTGGTAGAAGAACCCCAGCAGCAGCTGTGCAAGGAAGAAGCACGTCCCTTCCAGGATATGAAGGTGGCACTAGGGAGAGGGGACAAGTCTCTGCTTTTCCAAAGCAGCCCAGACGCCAGAGGTCCAGGAAACCATTGACATTCGACCTGTGGCCTGGGGGAGGGCGTGCCTCTTGGGCTCTCCTCCCAGCAGCATGGGTATTTAAGGAGGGCCTCCTGGGTCATGCGAAGCCCAGGGAGGGGAAGGGCAGCTTTAGGGTGTGTGCCGGTACCAGGCAAGGCTGACCAGGTTCTGTGTCTGGGATCTGGGCTTTTGCACAGAGCAGCTGGGCCTCCCCAGGGGAAGGAGTGATGGCAAGAAGCCTCCTCAGTCAGTCCGCGGCTGAGATAAGAACGCAGCCGGCCTCACCCACTGCTCCCTCACTCACCCAGGTCCGTGCTGTCCGACAGGTGAAGGGTTACAGCGTCGGGGAGTTTCGGTGTTGGGCCATGTCTAGGCCGAGACCCAAAAGCTCGTTCCGCCCATCAGCCTCAGCCTCCTACTCAACAGCAACAGGTTCTCCGTCTCTTAGCATCCACGGGACTTAGGAGAGGTGTGACAGGTCACCTCCCGACCCTCCATCACACTCACACCCCTGCGCAATCTTGAGGTGCCACCACGTGGCCCTCGTAAGGGTACGTCAGTGAGCTGTCGTGAGAGCAGGGGCAGGGGGCCTTTGACGCCTCCAGTTATGTTGAGACCCGATTAAAACTAAATCCTTCATTTAAAGGATGAATGGGATGGCTTCTGGGTATACATTTTTTTTTTTTTTTAAAGAGAGATTTTTGGTATAGGGAGGGGGTGCTTGCCAGAGAGACAGAGACACAAAGCAAGAAATCACCCCCTCGGAGGATGGCCACGCTGCAATCCCTTCTCCATTCTCCTCTCTGGATTTTGGGCACATGTGCATATGCACGCAGCATGTTTTAAGCTGCCAGGTCCAAGTCTCGAACTATGGGAGTCCAGCGACATAACCATTATGAATCTGCTGGCCCCATGTGTGCAACATGTAGGGGAAGGGTGCTGGGAGAGACTGGAGTCACAGTCATAACGTTCCGGTGGAGAGAATTCCCTCCTTATCTGGCAGGAGTTGGAAGGAAGTCCATCGCGGTCGTCATCCCGGCCCCGCTGCCTCGGAACCTCCCCTTTCCCTGTGAACACGTTTCCTGTGAAGTCAGACTTTGGAGAGTGGTCATGCTTCCCAGCTAAATGACAACTATCATGGTGCTGAGACAGAACAGCAACGCGGAGCAGGGGCACCAGGGGGAGGCAGGAGGGCAGGGCTCCCATGGAGGCCGCGGCGTGTCTCAGTAGTTTGTATATTGGCTGCTGACATCCTGCCTGGATGTGTACCAGACAGTTCTCATTCAGCATCTCATTTAATCCTCCCGGTGACCCTGAGCTGTCTACATCCATATTCCCATTTTGTGGGTGAGAAAATGTTCAACTTCACATTCAAATATGAGGCCAGCTCCCCTCCCCCAGCTAGGTAGCGATGACTCTGGAATTCAATCCAGGCCTGCCTGACGCCCAAACCCAAACTGAGTTCCAGCCCTACGGAAGCAGCAGGAGAGAACTTGGGTCTGCACCTTCCCAGCAAGACTAGGGGCTTTTTTTGAGCACTGGTGAAGAGTCCCCATGGTGATGCTGAGCAGATCTGTTTGAGGTGACACCCAGCTCCAGGGTGGGACGAGTGAAGCCCCTTTCTTGATTGGAGCAGAAAAGCAGAAACCCTTTGCAAGTGTCTAGTGCCCAAAGTGCCTTTTGTTCTTTTCTTTCTTTCTTTTTTATTGGGGGAGAGGTGGGGGGGTTGCGAGAGTTTTGCTATAGGGCGCATGTGCTCCCACAGAGACAGAAGAGACAGAAAGTGAACAATCATCCCCCAGGGGAGGGATGGCCACATCGCAATTCCTTCTCCTCTATTCTCCTCTCGGGATTTTGGACACACACACACACACACACACACACACACACACGTACCCAAAATGAGTTTCCAGTCGCTGGATCCGGGACTCAAACCACAGTCGACTGTGTGGGAGTTTAGTGCCTTCACCACTACACCACCTGCTGGGCCTCCCCACACTGTTTTTCTGCATATTCATGCATAGCAGACTATACAGAAAGTTTGAAAGTGCAGCAGGGAGGACTGAGGTTAAGCTCATGACCTGTCTTCCTCAATGCAGTATGCAGTATGCTGAGACCGGGTGGTGGGGTGTGGTGGCCTGGCGCCCTGCGAGCTCTGGGACCATGCAGTGCAGTGTGGATGTCTAGAGGTGGTTGCACAGAGCCTCAAGTATTTACTTAGAAGATGTCATTCATTTTGTCAGATCTCAAAAAAGTCCTGAAACTGCCAGTGACTCTTAAGGTTACTCTACTCCCTCTCCTTCTCCGGGGTATTCTTAGGGCTCGAAGCATTGGGACTCCCCATTTCTGCCAGGCTTGACACCACAGTCGCTGCATCCTGGAGGTGTAAATCTCTGTCAGAACCACACACATCATTGCCCCAGAAATAAGTAGGGGTCTCCCCTTTTTCCTGGGGCAGAGGTCCTTCCTTTTCCCTCATCCTGATCCTCTCCAGACCTCGGGCATCCAGGCTGCCAACTGCCTGATTACCTGATGCAAATGAAGACTGCCTGCTTGAGTGGGATTGGCTGGGGAGCTGAGTATGCAAATCGGCTCACTTTCTGTGGGTGAAAGAGTTAAAGTGCTGCCCCAGAGACGAGGGTGGGGGTGGGGGGGGTCAATACGATTTGAATAAAATATTCTTCTGTCTTTAACCGCTTCAGTATTTGGGTGGTTTAATAAGGAGAGGAGCCCAGACCGAGTTAGTTCAAAGTTGCCTCTTTTCTTCCCCCTGCAGACCCGAGAAGAGACTTAGGGGCCTCATAGGTGGGGACAGCTGTCTGTTATGGGTAAATGTTTCATTTATTGAAATGAAGCAGGGCAGAGGCCCCGTGCAGCACCGGACTGAGCTGGGGCAGTGTAGGTGTTCTCTCTCTGCGGGGCCACTGACCCGCTGCCATCCCTTTTCCACTGAGCAAGTTAAAGAAGTAGGAGAGGAGGTAAGGATCCCCCCAAAATGGAATCTCCAAGGAGGGTGCCATGGGAGCTCAGGCTTGATCCCCAGAGAGTGGGCTGACCCCTGAGAATCAGACAGAGAACAGAGGCAGGAACTGGGAAAGAAAGGTAAGGAAGGGCAAGCCTTGGCTTAAGGGTCCTCCTTCCAGGGCATAGAGGTGTGTGTGTGTGTGTGTGTGTGTGTGTGTGTGTGTGTATGGGGGGGGGCAATTTCTTTTGCCACTTTAAAAATAAAATAAACACTCCAAATCCCAAAGGAAATGAAGATTGCAAATGGGAAGTGTACTCCTCCCATCCCTCCCGTTGTTAAATTTTTTACCAACTGAATTCTGGTGATAGAAGGAAGCAGCAATGAATGATGCAAAAGGTGAGAGACCCTGCAGTAGCCCTGGAGAAGGGGAAAGAAAGGCAGGGAGAGGAGGCAAGCAGGAGAGGAGGGGAGACGGCCCCCAAGCTTATGAATATTCTAATGGTTGTATGTTCAGGAATCAGGAATTTGAAAGTCTGATGGTGGTTGTAATTACACATTCATCTTTGCTGTTTAGTTAAAGCCACATATGTCATGGCAAGAAACATGGTGACCTATTATTAAAATCAGTGGTGTTTCCCCTGCAGATATCAAGATGAGTGGGGATGTAGCTGATCCCACGGATGCTCGCGGTGCCCTCAGCCAGGTGGAGCCAGGTAAGAGTCTTCTCTTCTGGGGATTGGAACAAGAAGGCAGAGGATGGGAGAGAGTCTTCAGAAATTGTCGGACAATGTCAGATCTCCTCTTGTTTGGTTTTTCAGCTAGTCGGGCCAAAACGTCACTCTTGGAACGGAGTGAAGTTCTCTGGAGACATGGGACGGTTGATGGTGGTCTGCACTGGGATGGGCCTCTGCAGCTAGGCTTGGAAGGGCCAGATCCTTAAGAACAAAAGCAAAACAAAAAAGTTCAGGATGTTCACTTCTTGACGTGCCACTGCAACACCCTGGATGCAGTAGGCTGTGCTCCCAGCGGCTACTGACTGGCGGAGGGCAGACCTGTCTTTAGCAGATGGGAGCCAAGGTCTTTTAAACTCAGATCTTTCAACAGTCCTACTCCAGGACCTAACCAAAGAGGCCACGTGCCAGTGTTTGCCTTCGAAGTGGTGTGCGCATGTGTGATGAATGGGTCCAGAGCAGGAGGCGTGGTGGCCGGAGGTGACTGTGCCTGGAGAAAACGGGGACAAAGGAGAGGTGAGAAGAACGATCCCTAGTTCTCTATTCTCACCTCCATCACCCAGGCCTGGCTTTGAAAGCTCCATATAATTAAAAAGAACTTAAAGAAAGATGAGTATAAATCGTAACACCACCAAATAACTTTAATAGCATCCCAACCAGACCTCAATTAGTCTTTCATCTGGATCATTAGAGACACAGAAATTAGGAATGGGAGAGAATCGATATCCCCCAGAGCTAAAATATTTTCCAAGTCTTCTGGAGCAGTCGAGTTTCATTCTTGAAGCTAAAACCCAGAAACAGGGACAAGATCATGGGGGGGGGCATCTGCAGGACATATTTATCACAGATCTGTCCCCCCGACTGAATATTGAAATAGTGTGTTTTTGCACAGGTGACAACACACAGAAATACATAGGCTTTATGTATTTTTTTCTTAAGAGATTTTTGCTATAGGGCACATGCTCTTACCGAAGAGACAGAGAGACAGAAAGTGAGAATTTACTCCCTCAATGGAAGATGGCCATGCTGCAATCCCTTCTCCATTCTCCTCTCTGGATTTTGGCAGGCATACACACACATGCCTAGCTTGAGTTTCAAGCTGCTGGGTCCAGGACTCAAACCATGGTTGATCACAAGGGAGTCTAGCACCTTAACCACTATGCCACCTGCTGGCCCTGTAGTCTTTACTGTGTGTACAGAGACAGCTACACTAAGGAGAGTGTGGGTCAGGTACACTAATTTTTCAGTTGATTTATGAACTGAGGAAGGGTCTTTGAATGGGGGTACCCGTTCTCCCCAGTTGAGAAGAGCCTTTCCTTTCATCTCAAGAAACCAAGCATGGCTTGGGGATCAGCAGTTAGCGTAATGGCTATGTCGCTGGACTCCCATGTAGTCAACTGCGGTTCACGTCCCGGACCCGGTGGCTTAAAAACTCACACTGGGCATGTGTGCGTGCGTGCCCAAGATCCCAAGAGAAGAATGGAGGAGAAGGGATTGTGGCGTGGCCATCCCCCCTGGGGGGTGATTTCTCGCTTTCTGTCTCTCTGTCTCTCTCTGTCTGTCTGGCGAGTGCACGTGCCCTATGGCAAAAATCTCTCCAAAAAAAAGAAAAGAAAGAAACCAAGCATGGCTTTAAAATCCATTCATCTGGAGGGCAGTGGGCCCAGTCCCAGCACTGAGACTCTTTCCAAGGGAAAAGTCAGTCTTGGAGCCTGATCCCAAGAAGCTGGCTGCCCTTGCTCTGGAAGCACACTGGCTGGAGGCAGCCCTCACCTGGGCCCTATTGCCTCAGGTATGTGGGGACACAGCTAAGAGCATGTCTTGGTGGGAAGATCACACCACGTGGATGTATGCATGTCTGCATTGTTATTATTTCTCTATATTTGTGTATTGCCGAAGGGCATATGTGCTTGCCAGAGAGAAAGAGAGCCGCAGGGAGAGAGAGAGCGAGCACTCCCCATAGGGTGTGGTCATGCCATAATCCCTTCTCCTCCATCTCTGGCTTAAGTGCCCAGGGAGTTGGGACATGTGTGCACACGCACTGGCATGGCTTTCAAACCTCCAACTCTGGGACTTGAACCACACAAGTGGCCATGTGAGTTCTAGCTCCCTTAACCATGGTTAAATATGGTTTTTATTTAATTAATTAATTTATTTCCTGAGAAAGAGGGAGGGGGAGAAGCACTCTCAACAGGGTCTTGTGATGTGATCTCCCCATTCCCATATAGCCAGGGTGATGGGCACGTGTCCCTGGCATGTACAAACCAACCTGGGAAGCGAACCCCGATCTTTCACGTGGCTCCCAGCGTTGCAGAGTGCCAAGTGATCGCCACACCCCTGCAGCTGGGCTGGGTAGCTCGCACTGGTGTTCTGTTATTAGTCACCATGACCAAGTCAGGGTAGGAGTGGGAATGAGGCACAGAGCACCCTGAGAGGAGAGCTGGGAATGGGCGGGCCCAGGTCCTGGTTGGGAGTTCAGAGGTTAATGTTTGGGATGGTCTGAGTGAATTTGGTTTCCTCTTCTGGGACTGTGCCTGGGAGCTAGGTAGAGAGTAGGCTAAGGGAGAAAGAATCTGGATCCACCTAGGACCTCGGAACCTGACTGTCACCCAGGGTTACTGCCAATTTAATACATGACCTTAGGGTGTCACTTAGACCAGCCATTTCGTCTCCCCAGGAGGCAGGCACAGACAGCCTTTGGAGAGAGAACGGACGTCAATCCAGTGCACCTGGGATACAATTTCCGGCTCTGTGGCTGGCCAGCTGTCCAGCCTGAGCTCACCTCAGCTCTTCTGTAAAAGGGGACGTCCATGCCCACCTGACAGAGTGGGCCGAGAGTTGCTTGAGATGGTTGGCACGAGGCAGCCCTAATGCATCATGGAGACCGATTCTGTAATATTCAGAACGGGGTCACTGCTGAGAGCAGGTGGCCAGGACACCCTTCCTCCCTTGCTGGGGCCAAGTAGGTCAGCCCAAGCTTGGGTGTGCTCCTCACCCTTCAAGGGCCCTGTGTGGGCCCTTCTCTGCTCTGAGGAGACAGGGCTGCTGGGCCACGACCATCTCTGCCGGCCCTTCCTCCTGGGCTCAGTGGCTGGTAGCATCAACACTCAGGTGATCCTCAAATCAGTGCGTGTTTTAAGGGCAAGAAGAAAGAGGTAGCTAATTAAAGTAACCAAACTTCCTGGAAAGTCGTTCTGACTCACTTTTTTTTTTACAGAGAAGAGAGCTTATTATGAGTCACAGTGGTTACCAACTCTGTTTAATGGCTTCTTTTGGATTTTTAAAAGACAGATTCACCGTCCCAACAGAGCATGAATTAAGGGGTGGTTTGTCTTGGGTTTTAAAGGAACTATAAACAAAGGTGACCTAGAAAGCTCCAGCTCCTTGAGAGCACCCTCCCCGCTGTGTGAAATCCCCCAGGGGCACAAGAAGTAGGAGCTGGGAAAGGGAGTGGATTTCCAGGCCGCCCTGCCCTGGCCGGGAGGGCCTGCTCAGACCTGGGCACTGCACTCCTGGTTGGCAGAGACATGGTCCTGCCATTTCTGAGGCCTGTGAGGGCACCAAGGGCCGTGAATCAACTGCTGAGACCTCAGAGGGTCTGTGGCGGCCTTAGGGACAGAGAAGGCTCCGGCCTCTAGCCAGCGCTCTTTCTGCCTCATCTTGGACAACTGGAGCCAGGCTGCCCTCTCTATCAGTTCTGTCCTCCCATTGGCCTCCCTGCTGTCACCTTTCCTTCACTTTGGGGACTGATGACTTTTTTCTGTTCTCAGTTAAGTGATTGATAAAACATTTTAACCCCCCTAGGCCTAGGGGATAGGGTTAGGGCTAGGGTTTGGGTTAGGGTGGTGTGGTGGTTAAGGCATTGGACTGCCCCATGGGAGTCCCAGATAATAATTAGAAATAAAATTAAACTAATAATTATTTTTTAAAAAAGAGAAAGAAAATCACACTGGACACATGTGTGCGTCCAAAATTCCGAGAATGGGACCGTGGCATAGCCAGCTCCCCAGGGAGGTGACTTCTCACTTTCCCTCTCTCTAATGAGTGCACATGCTCTGTGACAAAAACATGAAAGAAATAAAAATAAAAATCCCCCAGGCTTGTAACTGACAACGCCCAAAACCCATGCAGCAAACCCTATAGCTTTTTCTGTAACTTTCTTTCTTTCTTACACAAGTAAAAGAGACCAAGATAGAGCGCACCCCCAGCAGGTCCTGACACTGCGGCCTGCCCACCCCATCCCCACAGTCAGCCTCCCCGGGATCACAGGCCAAGGGTGCCCAGCAGACTCAGGGAGGCCCCTGGACTTGGGCTGGGAACTGCCCGCGTGTGGGACTGCCTCGCAGTGTCACGTTCACTGCTGTGCGCAGTCTGGCCTTCACCCTGTGACTGCAGATCGCACTGGTCACATCATATCTGTCACAAACGAGGAACAAACAGAGGGCTTAGGAGGGAGGGGGGACAGACCATAATGTGTGGAGAGCCTCCTCCCTTCCCGGGCACATGTGCCAACTTTACGTTCAACATCTCATTTCATTCTTTTCTTTTTAAAGAATTATTTTATTCAACTTTATTTATTTTTAATGTGACCAGAGAATGACAGAGCTAGAGAGAGAGAGAGAAAGTGAGAAAGCATGCCATCGGGTCTGGGATTCAAACCACGGCTGGCCATGCGGGAGTCCAGCACCTTTAACCACTGCGCCTCCTGCCAGTCCTTCATTCTTTTATTATTTTTAAAAAATTATTTAATTTAATTTTATTCATTGTCATTATTTTGTTATTTTATTTTATATGTTTTTCGAAGTTGACCAAAGAGAGAGAATGAGATGGAAAATGAGAAAGCAAGCTGCCAGGTCTGGGACTCGAACCGTGGTCAGTCATGTGAGAGTTCAGCCCCCTTAACCACTATGCCACCTGCCAGCCCCTTAGTTCATTCTTACAGCAAACCTCTGAGACAGAGGCATTATTATCCCCATTTTAAC